GCTGCTGTGAGCTGTGGGGGGGGGCGGGTATGTATGCAAAAATACAGTTTATTTAAACCAGGTGATACAATGACCTGCTGAAGGCGTTCTAAGCCAAAAAGCTTTCTTGCCTTATCTCAACAGTTGGCAGATCTAAGGTGTTGCAGCAGCACAGAAGCAAGATTTCTGGAGATGTGAAAACATTTTAAGGAATTGAGGTTATTTTGTATGGAATCAAATCAATAACTCTTCAGTATTGTCAGGTGTAGGAGTAGGCTTGTATAATTGTAGGTATGGAATCTGTTAAACCCCCTTCTTACATGGTTCTGCCTTGGTTCTGTCAGGTAGTAGCAATGATAGTTTTCTTCAGAGTATTTCTGTGCTGATCGCTATGCCGTAGCTTGCTTACAAGGGAAGAGTTACTAACTGATACTTGTAAATGCTGATACAATATTCTTTAAATGTTCCTTTATGTGTTTGTCACAATAATAAAAGTAATTCACTTGTAATATGTATTAAGCAAACAGAAACCTGAGATTCAGGCATTTTAGTTTAACCCTTTCCCTATTTACCATACACCTTTCATTTCACTCATGTTCACGTTACATCCATGCACTGCTAGAATGCAACCTCTCAGAAACACAGCTTCTGGAGTGTCTTAGACTTCATAGTAAATTAAAATGTTAGCAGTCAAGTATGGTGAAACAAATTTAGTTTGAGGCTTACAAATTTTTCATTTTTTTGCAGCTGAACAATCGGTGTGTCCGTGCCAAAATAAATATTGCTATGATTTGTCAGACATTAGTAAGCCCACCAGAGGGAAACAAGGAAATAAGCAGGGACAACATCCTATGCAAGATTACATATGTAGCTAATGGTAAGTCTAAAATTTTTCAGTATGACCTTTGTGATACACGCTAATTGTGGGGACCTGAATATGGCAAAAAAAGCTTGATGCAGTTTTCTGTTAAATTTCTGTATAGCATCACGCTTGTGGTCTTCGTGTTCAAAAAGACTGGAATTAATGTGCTACATGGATCAGTAAATGGGATCATTCATTGTGTGGCATTCTGGGAGGAATAAATGGAAGTGGTGTGTAGCTCAGTCCTAAGTACCAAACCTTGGGGTGCAGGAGGGTGGGCAGGAGAAATGTCTGCGACTGGGATAACTTGGCATAGCTTTTTCATTAATAGTATGGGGTTTTTTCCTGTATCGTTGTACTTTTTTTTCCCTTGATTCATCTTGTTAGGCTGAAAAGCTGCTGATAGCGAAGACACAGTTTTTACTCTCAATGTTAAGAAGGAGCAAATATGTTTTGTATGAGGATGTTTGCAAGCTGTATAATCCAGTCTACATATTTTTAATTTTTTTTTTAACTGATAGAATCCTTGGTATTGACTGAAAAGTTATCAAAGCCAAACTCTATTGTTACTGTACCCAGTATTTAGCAGTGTATTGTAGTATTGGAGCTACATACTTACTAGCTCCTCTCCTGCAGCTACAAAACACTTAAGAGTAGCTCACCCGCTTATTACTTTTAACCACCTATTACATGGCTTACTAAAGAGTCAGAGTCTGAAAAATCGGTTCAGTAAGTCTTTGCCATATAGAAGTGATGTAATGTTTATTAAATCCTGTACAAATAATACTCTGATGTTAAACTCTGGGCAAGCTGCTTGGTTTCCTTTTTAGAAGTTTCCCAATCACTTGCATATATTTTTATTGATAAATTCTGAACTGTGATTATATGGGAAGTGGCAGTTTTTTCAGCAAAATACTTGCCCTGTGAACTGAGTCATATTTTACGATCAGTTCGAATTTTGTTTGAAGTGCTTTAAAAATAACTTGTAAGACATTGGCTATGTAGCAATTCTGCAGACAAACGCAGCAGTTATTGAAAAGTTAAGACTAACTTTTGTTTTCTTTGAAATAAGTAGTAACTTGAGTCTCTTTCTGTTGTTTCTTGGAAGTCCTTAGAGAATATCACCTTCCATTTGGGTATTCCCTGAAGACTCACAACATGTTATGTTTAATGTTTTCTAAATAGTGACATCATAGAACTGGACTGAGCTTGAGTACTAAGAGTAGAAAGTGCTACAATACAAGCTGTAAGGGCATTAAAAAAAAAATCTGCTGATCATTATTGTTTTCCTGTTACCGCAGAAAGAGTTGCAGGAATAAGGAACTTAAATTTTCTTTTCTAGCCTTTAGCAGATTTGCTGCATTTCAGTGTCTTTCTTCCTGTATTTCTAGTGAACCCAGGAGGATGGGCACCAGCGTCAGTGTTACGGGCAGTGGCAAAACGAGAATATCCAAAATTCTTGAAGCGTTTTACATCATACGTGCAAGAGAAAACAGCAGGAAAGCCTATTTTATTCTAGTGTTAGCAGGTATATGTTCTTTTTTTTTTTCATTTGTGATTGACAGTTCTAAATTTAAAGACAAACAGAAGTATGCAATCTAGAAATGTCTTACCATGATTGGCATGAATTCAGTGCTTAGTTTTAATATATGTATGCAACATACTTGTAAAAACATTCATGTAATTCGTGTGTATTATTAGCATGACAAATAAGGGCTGCACAAGTTATCAAGTATTAGTTTTTGTAGACTTTTAGTAGTTGATCTTGCAAGTTTTTACATACATGTCTAGTTTATGTAAAAGTATAAAAGGATGAAGTATTGTTTTTTTCTCAGCTATCACAGGCATTTTACATTTGTTCTGAAAAGAATACATACTGAAGTTTCTCTAGAGCCTCATGAGGTTTTGGTATCTTAAATTCTACTTATAATTGCGTATTTGATAAAATATTGTGAAGGTCAAAGGATTCTTTTATACTGACAGAATAGTTTTGATCTAGGATGTTTATTAATGGAACTTCTCTAACAGACCAGTGGCAACTACTGGAGTATTTAAAAGGCTGTGACTTAAATTTTTAGCCTTTCTGATGAGCCTAGACAAAGAAAAGGGATTTACAGACGCTTTCTGAAGTCAATGGGTATATTTTAATGGTATAGGTCATTGGGCTAATCTAAAATTATTCCAATATTTAAATGGTGATATGACATTACAAGAGGATTTCTTGATTACTTTTGGGGCTGTCTGAATCTGTCAGACGTAAGCCTTAGCGTGAAGTAAGGCTTCGCTTAATTTTTGTTAGTGTAGACTCGTGCTATATACTTCATTACATACAACTGTAGTGTCAAACCATCGAATTCCATTTGGTAGTTCTAGTATTACAGCATGATCTGAAAATGAGTTTTTATCACTTTTTCTATGCATGGCATAGGCTACCTTTATTTTTGGGTTCTATTTATTATATCAGACTCAAAAAGTCTTAGTCATTTGATCCTTCTGTAACAGGTAGCCCTGTAATGATTCACATTTTTAATTGTATATTGTTAGAGAACTAGTGTAGGTGAACCATTAAAAACACAACTGTCATGAGCGAAGTGTTCAAACGTGATCATAGCAGTGCTGATACTATTTAAGGTGTTTAACAAGTTCTTGTTTTCCTCTTAGTGTTCAAACTTTTCAGTGCTGTATTTTTCTCTTTGCTTACCTGCAGCAATCAGAACAAGACTGGGTGAGCATTCCACTTTGGAGAAGTGACCATGCATAGAGCACTCCATGCTGGAACGAAGGATCTACAGTCTTTTTATGGCCCAAGTTCTAGGCTTTGTATACTGAAGTGAAGAAGTGTTGTGATACCATGAGGCTGAATATTTAACACTAGCTCTCTCCTGCTAACTTCTCTTGCTGAATCAGTGTGTAATTATAAATACATGTATTGATAACATGTATATGGCTCTATTTTTATTTGCCTGCTTTAGAAGAGAAAGAACGTGTACAACTTGAATCACCAATGTGAGTTACTGCATTAATTTTAAACAACTTGCAGAATTTCCACTGTCAGCCTTCCTAAGATACTCGCACAGATTTTGTGCATGTTTAAAAAGCACAAAAGACAAATGCACATATAGCATACTGTATGTGCTTTATATGCACAAAAATCTATGTGGTATTTTGGGGGTGAGTGAGGAACTTCAGTAAAGCCTAGGTGACTTATTGGCAGGTTTTGTTTTGCTTTGTATAATCATAGTTCATTGCTGCTGGTTTCTATAATGAATCATCTTGTTACATAAAATGTCAGTTAATAACTGAGGGCTGTCAATATCCTTATGACTTTGCCTTTTCTATTGTCTTACTCTTATGAAGAACTTTGGCTCTGAAGGAGTAAGAGTGTGAAAAGCTTTATTTTTTTCCAGATATCTTTATATTTCTATTGTATTTTTTAGTTATGTAATATGTGCTCCAGAATTTTTGTTATTAAACATGATCCAGAA